AATCGCTTAGGGCATTTCTTGGTAAAAATTAATGTTGTGTACGCGGGGACACAGTAATATGACGATGGTTGTTTGACTCTCGTTAAAATGAATGCAACATTGAATAAATGAAAAGGGATTGTTAACCGTTTGAACAAGTTGTTAAGTGGAAAGGGGAAATGGATTGAATATTCCAAATTACCCCTTAAAAAGAATAGAAAATTAAATTTGTCTTAAGTGTGTCAAGGGTTATTGAAGTTAATTAGAACTTATATGAAATACGAATTCCTTACTAAAGAAATGAACCGTCGAGAACTGAGATTCAAGTCCCTTCTTAAAGTAAGAACGGTTCTTTTTTTAAAGTGAAAGATAACTCGTTGAATAAAGATGAAGTATGTATAAAGTTTGGTAAAAGGTCAAAAGAGAAAGTTATGCATGCACACACCGATGGCCTGGGAAGAGCTATTACTCTTAAGTGTGATTTACAATCATTAATACGTTTTACTATGATAGTTTAACAAGAGGATAATATGTATTTTAAAGAACATATGTAATGAATACTGCATTGTAGCCGCCTTCAGTGATTCTGTACAGATTGGTTATACATTATACTATACATTTTGACTGTGCTTTTACGTGTTTAAATTAAAACGGAAATTTAGAGAACAGATACATTGTTGTGGTGATGAAATCTTCTACCGTACGTTCTGGTGATGACATTTTATATCGTTTGTTGGGGTGCGGAAATCTTCTACCGTCTGTGAGGTGATTAAATTGATGATGAAATCCTCTTCAGATGATCACGACGAGGACACTACTTTTTTTGATAGTAGGTTACTTTTGTGTTGACATCACAAACCACGAAAATAAGAAAACATTGTTTAATGTCTAATTGTAGATACTTCCATAAATTATTTACAGTTAAGCGTAAAGAATTCTACACGCTCGCGATATATTGTATTCAACCTATCTAAATACAAACGTGGGGACACTTTAAAGTGTAGCTATTCTTGTCTGTTCTAAATTGTGTTTTAAAGTTATTACCTTGTGTAATAACTGTGTATTATACATATTCCTACAATTAACTTTGCATATTCTAGTGTGTTCATTGCATATCTTCATATTAACAAAAACAAACGTCACTGCTCGTACACGCATTTATACTTTCATCATATGTATACATTTACTGGAAAGGATTATGAAAGATATCCTAAACATCTAGATGTTGAACTACTCGAGCAAACCTACATTATAAATACAGTACTGTACAGTAGAATATAAATGGTTGTACACATACAAACGACCTAACGTTGTACGGCCGTACAAACTGTTAAGGGTTTCCGTTGAAATAATCCTATCGATGTATTGCTATACACATATATACGTATTACATTTATACAATATATTCGTCATAACGACTTCACAATAACAACAATCTTCCCTTGGAAATGATTAGTTAATTCTTATATCTGGTTAATTACCAAATTAAGTACCTACATCACTTTTACTTTACATCTTATCTGCCATAATGTCCTTGCATAAAAAACAGTCTTTGTTTTATTACCAATAAAGTATCAACGGTAAACTGTGTTTTTCGTTTAGTTTCATACGAAATTTATAATTATGATATTTGATCCAAACATCAAAAAACAGGGTGAATGAAATTTCCTCTAGCTTTACAAAGAGCTTTAATTTGACTAGTCAAGGAAGTTTTACCATATTCGACTCATAGCTTCCCTATATGAAGGTGACTCAATATTTTATAAACGGAATGTGTTTCCCGCCAGGAGGAAGAGAAGTAAACCTATTAAAATCAAGCAAGGGATACTATACCACAGAAAGTTCAGAAATAAGTAAATGAATAAACAAATAATGCATTAATAAATCAAATTAAACATTTTAAAATGTGACACACAAGATAAATTCGACAAAGTTTTGTTAACAACCTATAGTTTATACAAGTTTATAAGCGGCATATATCTATCAGATCAAATTAAAATGAAGTGGGTTTTAAACCTCTCGTCCTCGCTTTAAAAACCCGCTCTAAGTACTCATATTTAACATGTGATAAGATTCTTACAAAGGTGGATGAATATTGAATACAAGCCACATTTTTTTTATATTACATGTATATGTTTTACCATATCTTTACAGGGTATTTAATGAATCATAGAGGACTTATTTTCTTTTTATCAAGGTCAACTCATCCCCTCTTAAGATTCAGAAGACTACTATGTCGGTTGATGTGAAAATATTGATGTGTTTTAATAAAACAAAAACGTCTGACCAGATTTTGCTCAAACAAAGGAACATATCATGATGTGATGGGTATATCTTAGGATTTTGTAATACACCATGTACAATCACAGTAATGCATTTTTTGATTGTCGTCTTCATTATATTTTGTCGATATTATTAGATGTAACTTTACTTTTTACACACTTCAACAAGTTAAACACAGAAGAATAAATAAATATCTAAATGTTTCATATGTGGACCTCTCAGCGATATCGGACAGTACACTTTTTCAGTTTTTCAGTCACATGAATCACATATACAGACAATAAACATACCGAGTATTTATAACAATGCCATTCCCACGGCCTGTGTATTGAGAGTAGCTTGTATATATACACAAACGGAAATGATAACAACATTATTTATATCGTCAGTTGGGATTTCGGTTTATTTACAGTACAATACATGCAGTACAAACAGATATTTAAAACGTAGAATACAAATCTCTGAGCATGACACGAATCTATTTCTGTTATTGTGTATTTTGTATTGGGTAGCATCGTAGTTATATACTTAATATTAACTATTCTGTGCCTGTAGTTGTTTTCATCTCTCGTAAGGTATTGTCAAGTAGTTGATGATGTCACTTTGTATGATTAATGTCACTGCACCTATGTTCAACAAAAATTCTATTTAAATGTATATTTTGGGAAACAGATTGTCAAGTACTAAAATCGTGTCCCCTGATCAACTACATACAATGTATAGAGTTAGGATCCTTTGTTCTTTAATGATATCCAGATGTTCGATTTTTGAATTGCTCGTCTTACGGGTTCGACGGTTCATAAATGTATATGTATCGATGACGAAAATCTATGGTAAATGTTTGTCTGAATAAAGGTTGGATTATTTATCCCCTTTATAATTACTCGACTACATTTTATCTGGTATATGTATAAACATAGTGCGTATTCAATAAGACAAAACAAACGATGACAGATCAGGATTCTAAGTAACTAAGGAACTGACCACGATTTGATGGGGAATGTCATGGAATGTTGTAATACATCACGTATAGTCCAGGTAGTGAAGTTGTTAACTGTCCTTTCCATCATTGCGAATATTGTCAAAACGCATTCCGTTGTTTCTTTTGTAACAAATATGCCATAATGTTTCTAAAATAGAACAATCACAGTGCTGTTGTTTGCATGTCCTGTCTCTGTACATAATGACTCCTCTATGGTCTATCTGTCAAAAGGTGTTAATATATACATGTACCACTATAGCGATGACATCTCTAACATTCGATAGCCAAATGGAATTTCCTGATTACATTTTGTATGGTGGTATATCCAGAGTACAGAGGAGGCTTCTTAGCGGTTTTTTATGACCTGAAACCATTTCTGGTTTGGCCTCATTTTCTTTGTTGAGCGGTATAGCTCTGCGCTCCACATAATGCTGATCATTTAACCTGTGTTATACCTGTAATACCGGTTTTTAAACGTTACATTCCCAATAAGGATGTACATGTATTTCTGTCTTTGTAATTTTATATTTGGTTGTGCTATGCTTACCATAACACTATGGTCCGTCCATTTGGTATATATTTAATACTTGTGTTTGTTTACAGTAGTACAGGATGTCATTTCTGATAAGTCAGGGTCTAGTCATTCAGAACGTCAGTGTGTAAGGTTAATGCTATTTCACCAAGGTAGGCAGTGATGGTTGTTAGACACAAGATGAATTCAAAATTGAATGTGGAAGGAATTAGTTAACCCGGCCTTTTCCCCTTCCTTTTATCTACGCAGTATTTTTACAAATACAGCCAAAGCTTGCAAACGATTTATAAGAACGTACACAACCAATAATAGAGCTATTCAGAATAATACATGGATATATTTTATCTTATGGAAGGTTATCAGTATTTTCATATAATAAAGTAATTTGAATAAAGGAAGGAATTAGTTAACCCTGCTTAATTTTCTCTTCCTTATATCTGCTTAGTATTTGTACATATACCGCAAAATGTTCCAGACGTTTTATTAGAACGTAGACATCAGTTGTTTAATAATTCAGAAATATTATAAAATAATTTGATGTTCGAAAGTTTTCTTTATAGGGAGATATTTTTTAAACAATAGTACTTCATTATGTACGGCGAATATGGATGAAACAATGTATTTTAACAACTATGCAAGGCTGGTGTTGATTTTCAGATTAGATACCTAATTCTACTATGAAAATTCGGAATATAAACTTTGACCATGATGTTTGTTTCCATATCAAACGATTTAATAATGTACGCGAATATCAATTTTACAATATATATGATCAGCTAACAATATCATACAAGGGTTGGGCAGAGCTGTGAGTCTCTGGTTGTGATATACTATCATTACACCGTTTTACTCAGATACTCAAAGTACATTCGTACTAGATAGTGTATTGTATTGTTGCCGACTTCAGACATTCTGTATAAAATGGTTCATACCTTACACATATTTCCTTTGGTTTCATACATGGTTTGAGACGAAAGCATACTAACAACACTCAATTTACAAAATGACGTTCTAAAATTGATTTATTGATATTGTTCATCAGAGATTAATTATTTGTTTAACATGTATTCTCATTTGTTTTGAAAAAGAAAGATGCTTACAGAACATTAAAATTTGTCTGTGAAGAGGTCTGAATTTTATTCTCTTCGGAACCTATCGATTATTTTTTTATAGATATCTGTTAGACGTATGATATATTTGACAAGAGAAAAAAAGATGACTTACCAGGATTTTGCACAACTAAGGAACTGACCACGATTTGATGGGGAATATCAAGGGAGCAATCCGGGTAGTGCAGTTGTTTATTGTCCCTTCCATCACTGTTGTGTGGTCAGAATGTAATTTGTGTTGTGTTTGCAACACATTTACCACAGTGTTTCTAGAATAGAACAATCACATCGCGATCGTTTTTGGCACTTCTAAAATTCAAGTCAGTATTGAATACCTGATTTGTTGCTTAAGGTTTTATATTCCGAACACATTGTTTAGAAATCAGTGTAACTTTAGTCCGGTATGTGGTATCTGAATAAAAGCTGATGTTCTTCTGTTTTTCAGTCCCTGTATTACATAGAGAAGATCATCATACCCAATCCCTGTACACAATGGCAGTCGTTTGGCCTGTATGTTGATAGTTGCTATGATATATACCCAAACACAGACAGTATATAAACAGGAAGAATTTCCTACTTTCATTTTGTATAAACAATGCATTAGGGCATTTTAAATGGGTATCTCCAGTGGTCTCTCAGCGTATGATTATGACGTGGATTTATTCCTGTCGTGGTTAGTTCTATATTGTATTAGTATTGACCTGCCCTCACAATAATGCTAATTATTAAACCTTTTGTTCTAATAATTCAATCCTAGTAGTTGTTTTTAGTATTACATTTTGCATGTATGTTGATTAAATATGTTACCGTATGTTGCGTTGATGTAATCCTTTTACTGTACGTTGTGCTCATGGAATCTTTTACTGTATTTTGTGGTATAAAATAATTTACCGTATGTTGTGGTGATGAATTTTTCTACCGTATGTTGTGGTGATAAAATCTTCTACCGTATGTTGTGGTGATGAACTCTTCTACCGTATGTTTTGGCGATGAACTCTTTTTCCGTATATTGTGGTGATGAAGTCTTCTACCATAATTTGTTTGATGAAATCCTCTAAATTTGGTTGCGAAATGAAATCCTTCACGGCACGCATACATTTGGATGATGAAATCTCTACATATCATCACGATGAAGTAACTATTTTCATGACATTAAAGTACTTTTGTGTTGGCATAACAAATCGCAGTTAAAGTGCAGTTATTCTTGATCTGTTCTGGATTGTGTTTTAAAGTTATTTCTTTGTGTAATGACTGTGTGTTATTAGCGTTCGTACAGTTAACTTTGCACATACTGATGTGACCATTGCATATAACCAAACAGTCCATCCTCGTTCACGCATTTAAATTTTTTACTCGTATAAATTTACAGGACAGATGTATTACCTATTCATCTGTCTTTCATTACGAAAGATGTTCTGAATATATAATTACATACTTTAACACTATTTTATCAATACAGTATTCTACAGTATGATTGGTTGTACACATACAAGCGTTCTAACGTTGTACGGACGCACAAACGGGCTTCTGTTGAAAAAGTCCTATATATGGATCGGTACTTATACACATACATATTACATCTATGTAATATATGTGTCATAACGACTTTCCCAAAACAGCAATCTTACCTTGGAAATTATCATTTAATTCTTATATCTGGTTAATTACCAAATTAAGTACCTACAGCATTTGTACTTTACATCATATCTGTCATAATGTCCTTGCATGAAAAAAGTCCTTGTTTTAGGTGAGCGTTGTCAATTTTTCATAGATTTTTTATTGCCAAGGAAGTATCAAAGATAAAATGGGTTTTTTGTATAGTTACAACTGTCTTTAAATTTAAAACTAGTACATTTAGGTAGTATAGAATTGTGGATACAAGTATGTACAAACTACATGTAGTAATAGTTTGTACTCCTTCCCATAAACATACATGTACATATCTATGATATGGTTCAAATAGCTGATCTAGTATTTCCTGCATTATTGCGTTGAAAATTTGTTCTTTGTCCTTGGTGTGCATCATGTTGATGTTCTTCTTTAACAGCGGATGCTTTGTGACATCTGTCAGGTCTGTCATATCAAAGAACTTTAACAGGAAATCCATAAAATAGGCACATCCTGCAGTCAAGACGAAATCTTCATTGGCCTGTACAAGAAAGAATGTCTTTTTAGGCAGTTACGTTGCAGCCTATTGTCAACGCCTCTGAAGCCTGTGTACAACTACAGTCCTAGCATTCTGATTGGTCTAAATCTTACAACAAGTTACTAACACCACCTAGTGTTGAAATGTGTAAACGCTCCGTCATAAAGGTATTGCCGCCATTACTCAAAATGGTACATACAAAATGGTACATACATACAATTGCTGCGAGACAAACAATAAATAAAAAAACCTTACCCTATCAAAAAAAAGTCACACATTTCTGACACACGTCAAACATGAACTGACAATGCTCTAGTTTACATTAATTCTCCGATACGTGACAATATGGCGGGGCGAACTGGATTATGGGATGGCTGACTTCGAAGTACATAATGCTGATTTACCGGGAAATTCAAACTGTTGATTTTTGTTTTTAAAAAATGAGGAATGGTATATCAATCATCTTTTTAAAAAAAAAGTCATCTTAATATAATTTTATATTCCACATCACATAATCCTCCACACTTTGAATCACTTGTGATACATATTTATGCCATGAATGGCGAGGTAAACTTTGCACTGTCANCGTCAGACTGGGGTACCTCAGAGGGTGATGGGCACTCTGATTGTTTGTGTCCGGATTGGTTACACAACCGGCATTTCCAGTCATTTGGACATTGACGAAATGTGTGGCCATCTTGGAGACATTTCGAACAAGTCATGTTGTCTGAAACTACCTGTCCATAGTAGGATACCCTGGCTTTGTATCTGCCAATTTGTACAAATTTTGGGATGTGATTTGTAAGCGTGCGTGAAAGAATCAATAAAGTTCTATCACCCGTTTCACAGTTCGTGAGTTTTCCGTTAATACGGAGCTTCTCTCGGGTGATATTACCTATCGTCTCCAAACCTTTCAAAATAAAGAACCGGTCAATCTGTCCATCGTCCGCAGACAGAGGGATGTCTTTTACTCTGACCCTTGTGGTGTTTTCGTTATCAAAACGGTTTGGGTTGGTTTTAAGGACGCCCATGGTGTGCCCCCTTAGCGGGAAACCCGATGAAAGGAGTTCACATTTATCATCTAGGTTGTCAACGTAGATGCGCCATAACCCTCTAATTCTTTGCAGTCCAATGATATGGGTGGGATCTATAACTTCAGCGAGAGCAGTATACATTTCGGGATGGGTTATGAATTCAGAGGGATTCGGTCTCCGTTCCCCGTTTACCCGTTTCTTGTTCAGTATTTAATGATTATCTATATATAATAGTATATATACTAGTGGAAAAAAGAAACTGTGCATGCGGAGAATTGTTATAGAACATGTATTACCAACTGTATATACAAGACAACTCACACACATGACCGAGTATGACACATACACACTATCCGTGTGTTATGGACAGTTTTTCCCGTGCAGTTTGCTCTCTATAGGCGTTGGCCAGTTTGCACGTTTTTCTCGTCCAGCCATCCAATTCGACAATGGAAGTTTATTTTTCAACTGTTGGGTCACTCTGTTGAGACCAGTGAACAGTAAAAACAGCATTATAACGTTTTAATTTGTGATTAATGCTATGCCGAGGCTCAATGAAAATGACCGCCTCCAGATTATAAGTATGCTTCAAGCTGGTTTGGGCCAAGCCGTTGTCTCTACACGTTTTCATGTCCATCGAAACACAATCCGTGATTTGTGGAGACGACATCAACAGTTTGGCCACGTCGGCGATCGACCTCGTGCGGGACGTCCACGTGTGACGGCACGTCAAAAGGACAACCATATTCGGCTTGTCCATTTGAGAAATCGCTTCCAAACAGCAAGGGTGACTGCACGGACAATCCCTGGGTTGCTACTAATAAGCCCGAGAACTGTACGGAACCGATTGCGTGAACGAGCTTTCCGTCCGAGACCTGCTCCAATCCGCCCTGCTCTTCTGCCACGTCATCGAGTAGCACGTCTGGACTGGTGAAGAAGGCATCTGCGATTTACCCGACGGGATTGGGCAGGCATTTTGTTTACGGACGAGTCGCGAGTCCACCTGGATAGTAGTGATGGCCGTTCCAGAGTGTATCGTCGCGTTGGAAAACGTTTCCATGACGCGTGTGTGGTTCAACGACGTTCTTTCGGCGGAGGCAGCATTATGATTTGGGGCGGCATCACAGCCAATGGGGGAACGCAACTGGTGGTTGTTAACGGGAATTTGAACGCGTTACGTTACCGTGACGAGGTCCTCCGGACCCACGTCGTTCCATTCGTGCATGGACAGCAACGTCACATTACGCTATAGCAGGACAACGTCAGGCCACAAACAGTTTATGTCGCTATGGACTTTCTGGCCCAGCAGAACGTTGACGTGTTGCCGTGGCCTACTGTATCCCCCGAAATGTCGCCCATTGAACACGTCTGGGATGAAATGAAGCGCAGATTACGGTGCAGCAGGACAACGCCAGGCCATACACAGCTCGTGTCGCTATGGTTACGGGCATTACCTAATCAACCGGTGACGTTGACTGATTTGGCTGCAGCGTTGATACAGATCTGGAATGCCATCACACAAGCATTCTTGAACCGTCTGATAGGCTCCATGCGTCGACGTTGCCAGGCTTCCATTCAGGCAAATGGTGGACATACGAGGTATAAACTTTGTGAACTCAGTATTGACCCCTGCTGTGTTTACGTCACTCCTGAGCGGAACTTATTGATTCCATAACGTTGAATGGAATACAACTGTTAATAAATTGTCCCTGAAAACCTTGTTGTTCTACGCCATACACATTTATTTTTATAACACATTTTAGGCATGCACAGTTTCTTTTTTCCGCTAGTATATATAACGTTCACATATTCAACCTCTATAACAACATAAAATAGTAAAATACAAACTACATCTGACCCAATACAAGCATTATATACATTACACACTCGTACAGGCTTGACAATACATTATACTGTTCATATACCCCACAAGTTCTTACTCTATTGTCCATCGTCACACAGTCGATTACTCCAGACAAAACAATTGTCCTGTTCAGTTATTCTATATTGATATATGTTTATCAACATCGGTCTATTTGGTCTTGATATTCTTTGTCTGTTTTTTGTTTGGACTAACATTGTACTATTAGTGCTTTTGTAAAAGATGAATAATAGACATGCTTTTGTGCTGCCAAATTTATATCGTCTCTATATTTTGCCTGCACCAGGCCTTTGCAAAGAAGTAACAGAAAAATCACTTAACATAGAAATATGCATGATGTAAATTTTTGTCCAGCGGAAAGGTCCTATATATATATACTTTAAACTGGTCGGGTTGCGCAGTAGGTAGGGCGCTGGCCTTTCACAAAAACGATACCCGATCGGAAG